AGTGGATCACCCCCAGCACAATTGGGGACACTGAGGACCAAGGTCACACAGGTAGTCAGGGACAGAGTTGGGACCTGCCCTGGGGTTCTGGACATGGCTTTCCTTCCCTTTCTGAAGCCTAAGCGTCAGGAGGCTCAGAGGCATAACGATCATGCCTCCCTCATCAGTGGGTGGTAAATGATAGAGTACATGAGATTGTGGAAAACACCTCATACTGAACCTGGTACACAGTAAGTGCTCAATAAATACTGTCATAGGCAGTGATGTTATAAGAGCCAAAAAGAAAACAGCTAAATATCCAGCAGGGAGGAATTGGCTAACGTTTTACAGCCAAACAGTGAAATGTAAGTGTCAGCTAAAATGCGTTGTAGACGACAATTCCCATGGAAAGGTGTCCCCAGGGTCATTATGTGAAACAGTTACAGAAGAGATGTTGGTGGTGGACTTGGATGTCATTTTTCCTGACATATACACACACCAAAAACCAGGTCTGGAACCTTCTGAAACGTTGTGCCCAGACCAGCAGCCACACCAACCCCGGGGCCTTGTTAGGAAGGCAAGTCCTCGGCTTCCCCCAGAGCTCTGCTGGGGCCTGGCAGTCTGCATGGGCACCCGTCTGCATTGGCACCAGGCTGCATGGGCACCAGCCCTGCAGGGGTTTCCTGAATGCTCGAGTTTGAGGCCCACGGCTGACTTAAGAGCTGAGCAGTGGCTGTCTGTGGGTCTTAAGAAATGGGGGGTCATTGCATTTTATTTTGTAAATGTTTTGAGACATAGTACTTGTTCAATCAGGAAAAAAAAGCACACTCAAGAGATACTTTTAAAACTGAACCATATTCCAGATTTTCCCCTCCGTGACAGCAACGTCATGTTCAAGTTAAAACCTCACAGGGTGGGGACAGTTTCGGAGGTGTCGGGTGGGCTCACTCCCCGCCTCTCCTGCAGGTGACCATCATCGGATACACCCTGGGCATCCCCGACGTCATCATGGGCATCACCTTCCTGGCCGCAGGCACCAGTGTCCCCGACTGCATGGCCAGCTTGATCGTGGCCAGACAAGGTATGGGTTGAGTCTGGTCCCCGCAGCCACCAGCAGTGCCTTGCCTGCCCAAGTGTAGTTGGCCAGGTGTGGCTCTGAGGGTGGCAGCTGTCCAGTCCTGGTACAAGGGAGATGGTCACATCTGGAAGCATCACATCTTAGATGCCATCCGTGGGGAGAGCAGCCCCATGGTGAGCTCCTGGAGGTGTCTGGAAGCATTCACTCTAGTGGTTGTCAAAAAAATGAATCTAAGCTGGGCCCGGTGGCACATGCCTGTAATCCCAGCAGCTTGGGAGGCTGAGGCAGGAGGATTGTGAGTTCAAAGCCAGCCTCAGCAAAAGTGAGGCGCTAAGCAACTCAGTGAGACCCTGTCTCTAAATAAAATACAAAATAGG